GTTTTAGTTACCTTTCTTTGTCTTGTAGGGTCCTCCACTGGGGTGTACATCTTGTAACGGGACAGATATTACCTTGGCTAAGCCAGCATTGATCATATATTGATAGAGACGTTTGAAAGTTCTCTCGCAAAGACCCTGATGCAAAGAGAAACGGCAAAAGTCATTGTAGCCCAAAAGTCTCACTTGCAGCTGATTAGTATCAAAGACATTCATGTTGCCTGTTCTTACACAGTATTTTGGGGTAAGATATCAAAGAAGGATCTTAAAAGCCTGCTAGTGCAGACAACAGGCAGAGCATGAATTGCTTCTGGAGCGTGTTCTATCCCTCCAACTCTACCGTCCAAACAAGCAGCAGCAACCAGCAGCAGCACTGTGTAAGCAAGAATTGCATGATGATATCCATCGACAAAACTTTTCTGAAACTGTGGATCGAACAGAACTCCTTCCTTATGACAAACAGCAAGAGTAACTTGATTTAGTGGGTTTTTAAGATCCTTCTTTTGACATCTTACCCCAAAATATTGTGCAAATTTCAAAAATGGACAGTATGAATTACTGCCTTTGATACTAATCATCTAGATTCCATGTGAGTGAGAATCTGAGAGAGTAATGAATCTCACCAGTTCCTCCCTCAAGCTTCCTAATGTTTCCATCTGGTTTGAACGAGCACATAGCATACTTGAGAGTTTCTCCATCAGAATGTCATATTTGCTCCTCCTAACCAAGAAAAGAAAATTATTTTAGATGTAAGCATGCACATAACTTCATAAACATGAGTGGTACCTTTACAAAATGTCAGTCACTAGAGAAAGTATGCTGAAGTGTTCTCAGAGTGGTTTAGGAATTACAGTTTTCTTTTCCTTCTGTGAATAGCACATGAGAGAATTTGTCACTAAGAGGAGACCCCAACCGAGGGAACGGTGACTAAGCCCAGGCTGTTACTTCATTGGCAATCCACAGAAGCACAAGTTCTAATCACAAATGAGATAGGAAAACAAAAAATCTAATGTGTTGGAAGCGAGAACACTCAAAATTAACAGACTGACTAGTGCTATAGTAAGAAGAGTTGGGCTCACGCAGGCAGGTGATAGGCACTAGAATACCCTGTTGCTTATAGCTACAACACAAGTTCGTTTTAAACTGTCCAGCATTCAGAAGAGGAGTTAGTAAAGAAATTGCAAAAAGTCAGTACTAAGAAACTTTGACGGTTCTGTGACAACAGAGCAAACTTTCATCATAGTACAAGGTTACAGTCTACCCAGGAGTTCTTCAAAACATCTGAGTGGCACACACCTATCAACATGAAAGCGAGTCAGAAGTAGAAGAATTGAGTGTTGCTGTGCTCCACTTGGTAGTCTTATGACATGGGACTGCATTGTTATGAGACCATTTCTGTCCAATACTCTTCGGTGATAATGCATTTTTCCAGCATCCACTCTGAAAAAAAAAAAAAAGAAAAAAGATGTCAAGATACTATAGGCATTGGAACTTCTGTAAACAAATTCTAACTATCCAGTATCCCACCACGCCTCACCTAAATTACCTGTGGTCGTAGTGACATACATTATATTAATTTTCAAAGTGACAATCTCAAAATTAGGAAGTGCCAAAATTAAAATAATATATGAAATTGATTTTCATAGTTAATCCAATTAAACAGAAATACCTCTGATCTTAACTTACAATCTTTATGCACAATCAGCGTGTTATGACATGGTTTGATGAGACAGCTGAACCAGTATTATATCCCCCTGCCCTCTTTCTCCCTCCTCCCTTTCTAACTCCTACTACCATACACTCCCTGCCCTCCTTGTGATGGCTCTGGTATTTATCTCACTACTCCTTGGCAAGCTGACTCAGGCCACTGCAGATTTCCCTCCCACCCCCATCATCTTAGTTGCCTGAAAGGGCTGCTTGGGTGGCAAAAAACAAGGCTGGTGTGATTTGCAAGCCACACGTGCTTCATCTCCCAGAAACAGTGAATCCTCAACAGCAATACTAATATCCTCCAGCACAAAACCAGTGTTCACCCCAAGGCTGTGCGATGCTCCTCCACCAACAAAATCACAGTCTAGGTTAGAAGCCGGTAACGCAGGCTTCCATTCTGGTCAAGTAGAGAAAGATGGTACACAGGGCAAATGCTGGGGACAAAAGGTGGGCATCCAAGAATCTCTTCAGAACTTGGGCAGGAACACATGCTTACTCAGCAGTTTAGAAAAGGAAATGAGAATCACCCTTCCATCCCAAATCTGAAGAAAAACCTGATTTAGAGAAAGCAACAACTTCCACAAATTAGAAGCCTGCATACTGACCCCGTAGACAATCTCTGGTTCCATGAGCAAACATCAGGAAGCGTAACAAACCCAAGGAAGAGACCAATACAATTCTAGCAACACAGGCTCCAAGAACCAAGTGCTCCTGGTAGTAAGGATGAGGAACTACCAGTACAGACAGGACTTTAAATCAATATACAGGAACACTTGGACAGAACTTTGTAACCAGTGGAAACTTATCAGCTTCAATTTAATTCATACAGCAAGATACAAACTTACTTGAAAGCCCCGCTGTGAAGGTCCCTCTGAAGCTCTCCTTGCCACCTAGCACGACCCAAACGCTCCAATATGCAGTAGGAGAAGTCAGGGAGCTTTAAGTCAGGGTCCCCCTCCCAGCCTATCAAAGCTCTGTAACGCTGGTCTTGGGAAGCAACAATGACTAGTTGCTCTCCCCATCTGAGAAACAGACGGGAAAGTAGTAAAATATTATTAGTTCCACAAAAACCAGACAGATCAATCACTTTCTCCCCACACATAAAAGCCAGCTGATCAATCACTTTCTCCCCACCAACACCATTCTTGGTATCATCTGCATAAACCGAGTGAGGACTAAATTTTAAGACTTCAGTTAAAACTCCTTTAATGCCAGATATAAGGATTTCACTCACTTTTCAACAGCTTCTACGTAAGTATAACACGGCTGCAAATCCTTCATCCTTATTTCATCAGTGATATCTATTCTCTCTTTAAAATACTGGCAGGAACCTTGTATGCCATCTTTATTATCCAAAACCATGTGGACAGGATAAATATCGTCTGAAGGGAGAGGATCTCTTTTGGTTTCCAGTATTCCTGTCTCAAGGTCTATTTCTTCGTATCTGAAATAAAAGCAGAGAGCCAACATTTAACCAAGCAAGGGGGGTTTGGAACCGAAATACAAGATCGTCACAAACAATACCAATACCTCTACCGAGTATCTTGAAAAAATGAAACTGGGTTGAAACCTCGAAACTGGAAGAACACGAAGAGCAGAGCCGTGCTCCTCGAGTGTGACCCAACCCTCTTGGCATGCAGAGTACAGGAGGCAAGAGGAGGGGAATACTTTACTTGATCTTCAAAAACAGAAGGATGTTGAAGCAGTGGGAACAAAAGGAACGCGTATAAGTGCTAGTTTACAGACAAGCAAAACAGCAGGGCACAAACTGAAGCAGAGGCAGTTCCAGCTGAACATGAGGAAGAACTTCTTCCCTCTGAGGGTGACAGAGCCCTGGAACAGGCTGCCCAGGGAGGCTGTGGAGTCTCCTTGTCTGGAGATATTCAAGACCCACCTGGACAAGGTCCGGTGCAGCCTGCTCTGGGTGTCCCTGCTTCGGCAGGGGGGTTGGACTGGGTGACCCACAGAGGTCCCTTCCAACCCCTACTATTCTGTGATTCTGT